GGTGAAGGAAAGGGGGTGTGGCTCTGAGAGGACTGAGGAGGGGTAAAGGAAAAGGGGCGTGGCTCTGAGAGGACTGAGGAGGGGTGAAAGAAAGGGGGTGTGGCTGTGAGAGGACGGAGGAGGGGTGAAGGAAAGGGGGTGTGGCTGTGAGAGGATGGAGGAGGGGCCGAATATAATCAAACCACACTGTACAAAATTCTCAAGGAGCTAATTTAAAAAGAAATTTAAAAACAACTCTGAAAGTTTTCAGATTGCCCCAAATTCATAAAAAAACCCTGAAGAGTTGCATTACCAATGCATAGTGATTGTGATGCACCTTAGCAACTCAATCACATTTTTTAAGAAAAATAAGTGAACATTGACTTTTTTCTGAAATTAAATTCTTAAAAATTCTTTTTAGTGAACTCAGCTTTTGTTTTATTTTCTTGAACTAACCTCACTAGCTATTGGCCATGAATTTAGACATTTTTTTCTTTTCGATACAAGACATAGCTAGTGATGGATTCGACTTCTATAGATAAATAGTCCAATGAAAATTATTTTACTAAATTCTAACACTCCAAGTCACATACAAAGTCTCGCGACTGAACCGTGAACGGCAGGCACAAGGCAGCAGTGGCTCTGGACTCCTCGCTCTAGTGACAGGCTGTCACAGCTGTTAGCGGTGGCCCAGGGAGGGCTGCAGGAGGGATGGGAGTGCACGCATGACTCCCCGGATGAGTGTTTGGTTGTGCACAAATGTGCCTTCTCCCTCTACCCATCAAGCCAGGCTGGAGGCTATGAGCCAGGACATCTGAAACCCTGGTGTTAGCCAGCGTGAATCTGCAGTGCTCCCCTTACAAAGAGATGGGTTGATCTAGCATTGCACATAACATAGATTTTCTATTTACTCTAAATTGGTTCGGTTATTTCACAGTCTTCTATTGACTGCTTCTTCTTAGCCCAGAGTTTGCAGTTATCACAGGGATGTGTGTGTGGGCGGGTGTATGTGCGTGTGTGTGTGACTCCACACCGAGGACACTAGCTGATTCAGCTTCTGCCACCCTGCCTGTCATGGTACTCAGAGCCACACAGATGGCACACCCGTTTCTAGAGCTGCATTCTGGCTGTCGTGGGCCATCGTAAAATTTACTCAGCTCTATATCTTCCTTGTGAACCAAACGAGTTGCTTTCCTAGTCTACATTTATAATTCGGAGTAGTATCCGGGAGAGAATCATGACAGTACTCTTTATTTCAGACATCAGAAAACTCCTAAGAAAAGGGAAGAATATAGAGGGGAAGCTGCAGAGGAGAGACATCATCAAGGAATATTCTGATTTTGCATCTCAGGTCTACGGGCCTTTGTCGCGCCTTGGTCGTTTTCCAGACAACAACTCAGAGGACTTTGTTGTCAGAAACCACTACCTCAACACCTACGAAGGTAAACAAACCCTGAAGGTGAACAATAGAGCGCCTGAAAAAGCAAGAACAAACAGATGATATATGCTTGTCAATACAGCTTCATATGAAGCAATAAAAACTCAGACGCCAAGAACAGAAAAACCCTGTGGAATAATTTAACAAGGAGCAAATTCAGTTCTCTACGAAATGTGGTAGCTTAGGTGTAGTTAGCAAACGCCTGTGGCTCCTAATTCCCAGGGCTGGAGACCGGCAATCACCAGAGTCCAGAAGTCTGGGCTAGCCTGGGCCACTCAGCAAGACTTCTACCTAAAAACAGATGACAGCAATCAAGCTTTGAAATATATTTTTATTTAAAGAAAAGCTTTACGTGGGCTTATGAAACAAACAATGAAATCTAATAAGGCAGAAATCTAGAAGGCAGGGCAAAGTCACTGGGTAGTCTATTCATGAAGAGCTCTGTGCCTTTTATGAAGCCCAAAAAACTTGTTTCAACTTTTAACAGTTTAGCTCCCAAGCTGGCGCATCATGGGACCAAGATCCTGAGTTAGCGGCCAGACTCTTGAGCTTAGAGCCCTGGTGAACACCCACTTTAGAATGGGGACGCCATCTGTCCTAAAGCTGTGTAGACCGCTGCCGGCTACTGTCTGTACCTTCTGTAGAACACATCTTTAGTTCAGAATGGGTTCTTACTGTGCCACCCAAGGCACTGAGAGCAGAAGCTGACTCCACAGACTCATGCTTTAGAAACAGTTCATCCTCTTAAAGGCGTCACCTTCCAAAGCTCACGGTCCTAACAGTACACCCTCAGCACGTTCAGTGTAAGCAGGGGACACTAAAACCACATGCTTCCTCCCACAGGGTTGGTGGAACTTGAATCATGCCTCCCCGATTTTGTGACGCAGCCCAGGATCAAACCTCCAAAGCCCAAAATCATCACCACCAAGGCCGGCTTTCTCAAGAGGGCCGCGAGGATGGACTATGAGTTGGCCGAGGTTCACAAGGTATCGGGGGGCTCCGAAGACTAGACACTTCCTCTCCGACCTCTGCAGAGCAATGCTGCACCCTGAATTGCACGTCGTCATGGACAACGGTGGCCATGCACCTGAAACACAGCCTGCATTCTTTCTCCTCTCTAGACTTCCGCTCTCAGAGGTCCCCCGGGTGTCCTGATCTGTGCAAGTTCACCTTCATTTCAAACTGTGACAGGCCTTTCTAGGGGTCGCCTTCCCCTGGACAGAAGCTATTACTTTCTTAAAGCGCTTCCTCTTGGGCTCTATTTAGGCTAGAGTTGGAACTATGAAGTTAGCTGCTTCTAGCATTGGGAATCACTTTGTTAAGAGTTGTCGTTCTGTTTTCTTCCTGTTATGTTTGCTGTGAGGGCACCATGAGGAAGAGGAGATGTGACCAAGGTCTTTTTTAAAAATCCAGTTTAAAAGTCAACTAAGCAGGAATTTAATGCCCATCAGATGTCAGCATCAGACGCCCATGGAGGGCTTGTTGAGATGTGCTGCTAGGCTCCACCCAGAGTTTCGCCCAGTAGATGTGGGCGAGGCTGTGGACATGGGCAGGCCTCACATGTCTCCAGGTGATGCTGTTGCTGTAGGCCCAGGAGCCGCACTTTGGAATCCCTGGTTTATGACATCCTCTTGTCCATAGGTATTTTCTTGCTTCCCTGATTCTTGTAACACATAAGAATCTATGGGAACCCAAACTCAACATTAAAAAAAGAATAAGACCTTAGGACTGGGGGAATGGCCCAGCCTGTGAAGAACCCCCCGGGCAAGCATGGTCACCTAAGTCCAACCCCCAGCACCCAGGTAAGAAAGCTGGGTGTAGTAACACAGTTATAATCCCAGCCACCGAGGAAACAGGAGCAGCATCCCTGGGGGGCATTGGTCAGCTAGCCTGGCGTAGTCAGCAAGGCCCAGGTCCACTGAGAGATCCAAGGTGGCTGGCTACCTCTGGAGAAACAACGCCTGAGTTTGACATCTGTTTTCCACACGCATAAGCATGAACATATACCTGCACATACACATAAGAACACATTCCCATGTGAACACACACACACACACACACACACATGCACTTTGAAAAAGCTTAGGACCTCTGAAATGATCACATGTGTCTTTTCTCCCCTACTGCGTCTCCATCTGTGTTCACCCTTCCTGAATACTGTACTCGCCATTTTCTGTAAGAATTTTTTCTGTACTTTGTATTGCGTTATAGAAACTCTCTTTTCCTCTTGATTTGCTAAAGCCTTTGACCATATGCTTATGTTACTTTATCCAATGATCTACTGTGTTTCCAGAGCAAATGTTTACAGATGCTAATCTGTCCAGCATCAGTGGTTGACCTTGCTTGGTCAAGATACAGCGCTCATTTTAACACATCGTTGGATCTGGTTTAACTTTTCGCTTCTCTGCTCATGAAACAACTCTCTTATTTTTTTCTTCTAATTTGCCTGTGCGTCATCCCAAAGTTGAGCAGGTTTCCTGAAGTGACCTGGGAGCATCTCTTCTTCCTTCTCCCCCGAGAAGAATTTAGGAAGACCAAGCCAATCTGTCCCTTCAGTGTGGAAGGATGTACGAACAAAGTCACGTAGGACTAGTGTCTTCATGAAAAAGAGTTTGACCTGTGCCTCAGTTTCTCTACACCATGTACAGTTTCTTTGCATTCATTTGGTAAATTATCTTGTTTAGAATCTCACTTCATCTGTTCAGTTTTTTGACATGCTCACTGATCATATTGTTTTATATATAATCATGTCCATTTTTTCATTTGTAACATTGTTTATATCTTAACTCTTTTTCCTTAATTTGTTTTACTGAAGGGTTGCTCATTTTCTTGGAGCTATTTTTCCAAACAATGAATTTTCAGGTTTGGACATATATTCACACTGTCTCTTTTCTTGTATTTTTAAATATCTCTTCTTTGAGTTGTCCTGTGATTATTTTCCTACACCAAAAAATTAAATGTATAGATTATTGATTTCAGTCATTCATCAACTTTTTATAAGTATTTTAAGCTAAACATTTCCTTCAAAACACTGAGTTTTGCTACATTTCATTAGTTTTGATATGTGATGTTTGCCATTCTTAATCTCTAATATCCAAAAGTATTCAGTGTGGCTTTTGTACTATGCCTCTCTGATGTGTGGGACAGATCGCTTCCAAGGCCCCCTTCATCCCTGGGACACTACCGGCATTCAGCTCTCTGACACTCGTCCTATAGACACACAATGCATTTTCACTCTGTTTTGATTTCTTTGAGATGGGTCTTGCACAGCCCAGGTCGGCCTTGGATAACTGTATAGCTGAGGAAGACCTTGACCTTCTAACCCCTTGCCTCCACTTCCCGTGACCAGGGATTATAGGTGGATACCACCACACTTGCTACAGCGCGCGCGCGCACACACACACACACACACACACACACACACACACACACACACACGGCTACACTGGATATTTTTAAACTTAAGAAAAAACAAAAGATTTTATCTTCCCTTTGTTTATTCCTTCCCTGCCGTCTCCCTGTCTTTACAGACCTGTGTGTCTCTGACCCCTGTCATTTTACTTCTGCCTTAAGAACTGGATCATTTTCGGCATGGTCTGCCAGCAAGGTTGTGTCTGTCATTGCTCTAATCCATCGTCCCCGCGACAAACCCCGTACCTCTGAGCATTCGCTTCCGTCCTCCTCGCTCTCCTCCAGTCTCTGTCCTTCTTCCTCTTTATGGATGGGTTTGTTCTGAGCATGTTGCATAAGCAGAGCCCTGCAGTACATGGTCCCTCTGCTAGCCCCGTTCATCCACCCGTATTCTAGCACAGTTCCCGGTCCTCATTCTTTCCTATGACTACACAATATCCCATTGTATGGATACACCACATTCTGTTTCTCCACTCTTAGCTCACAAGCCTTTCAGTTCTTCCTACTATGGGTGCCGTGGGCTTCTGTGTTCTAGTTTGGATAGACATGGTGCTTTTGGTTTCTTTTGGATGAATTTCTAGCAGGAGGATCATAGGTCATACAGCAATTGTTTTACTTTCTGAGGAACTTCCTGATTGTTAACAAATCGACTACACTATTTTTTTTTAATCTCAGTGGCTGTGTGCATGGATTCCTCTGTACATCCTTTCTGTCTCTTACCATCTGTTTTCTCTGAGCCATGTCGGTCTGAGGGAGATGGTGGCTCCATGGGGCTTTGGTTTGCAATTCCCTGATAACTGATGACACTAAGGAGCTTTTAAAGTTCCTATTGGTAATTTGTATGTTTTTCAAATACATGTCTATTTGAATATTTTGTCCATTTTAAAAACTAGTTGTCTTTTTATTACTGAATTTAAAAAATATTCCAGAGACTAGACTTTTTCACTTTAAAACTGTCTTCCTATTCTCTAGGATATCTCCTCACTCCAGACAGTGTCCGTGTCCTTCAAAGCACAGAAACTTTTTATTTTATTTTTTTATTTTTGGTCTTTTCACTCTTAAAAAAATATTTATCTTATTGTTTTGAGAGGTGTGTGTGTGTGTGTGAGTGTGTGTGCGCGCGCGCGTGTATGCGTGCGCATCAGTGCAAGTGCCCAAGGTGGCCAGAAGAGGGTGTTAGACACCCTGCAGCTGTGACAGGAGTGACAGGTGGATGTGAGCCACCTAATGTGGGAGCCGCAAACCAAACTCTGGTCTAACGTCTCAGCCGTGTTTCCAGCCTGAGTCTCACGGCCTTGCACAGAACTCCGCCTTTGGCATTTTTTCTCTATTTCCCCATCGTACTGATCATGATTTCTGACTGGAAATCTGCTGGTCATCCTCAATGTCTTTTCTCTAGGAAGGGTAGGGCTCCCGTACCCTCTGGGGTCTTTCAAGGTCTTCTCTGTTTGGTGTTTTCTTCACTTTGAGTGCATGACTGCACTTTTGTCTTTATTTGAGGCATTTCTCGTTTGCTGTTTCTTAAGTTTCCTAGATCCTTACCAGGGTCTTTAGAATAATTCTGGCATTTCAGCCATTACTGCTTGAAACATTTCTTTTGTTCCCCCCCCCCGCCTCTTTGCTCTGCTCTGCGCTTTCTCCCCTTTCTTTGTCTTCTTCTTTTCTTTTTTCAGACAGGGCGCATGTAGCACAGGCTGGCCTCAGACTCACTGTCTCACCGAGGATGAGTTTAGCCTCTGATCTTCCTGTGTCTGCCTCCTACAAGCTGCGATTGGGCACAAGATCCCCTGTCCTGGCTTAATGGATGCTGGAATTGAAGCACTCAGCTTGGTCGAGCCCTCTGTGAAGGACCACCTCATCCGCCCACTCTCTACGCTCTGGTGCTCCAGCTGCACCTTTGTTATGCCTTTGCCTCACCTCACAGCTCCTAAAGGTTCTGCTCTGCCGGTTTTCTCTTTACGGTTGACACTGGGACGCGCTTATTGACCGTTTCCAAAGTACTCGGCTCTGTCTTTGTCTGTGTCGAGTTGGTTTAGACCTGTTAAAGGCGTTTCCCATTTCTGTTGCTGCATTTTAATTTTCTAACCATGCTTAGTGGTTCTGTTTTAACATTCTCATCTCTCTCTGCATTGCTTTTCTGTTCTTCTATGCTGTCTACTTCCCACATCAGTTCCCTTAGCATATTAGTCAGATATTTTTAAGTTTTTGCTGAGTCCAACATGTGCATGAGTGGATCTTGTCGGTTTGTCCATTTAGACAGACTGTGTTCTTTCTTGCTTTTTAGTATACTTTCTAGTATATAGCCCAAAATCGACAACCTAACATCTGGCATCAGATAATAAGAGCTAAAATAAATAGGCCGCACTGTAGCATCCTATTAATCTTGCTGGGAGGAGCTGGACCATGCTTCATGTCTGATGTATCTTCAGGTATTGAAAGTGTTGCATTATTTTGATGTCCTTGTTTCTGTTTCTCCTCTTGGATTTGGAGTGCAGTACATTTACAGGGAGTCTCCTGGTTTGGAATGTTGGGTTGACGAGACTTAATCAATTCCAGGTTGTCAGGCAAGCATCTTCCCAAGACTGAGCTGTCTTGAGAGTGCAGGGCTAGATGGTGGAGGGGTGATGAGGGAGGGGTGACGAGAGAGGGGTGATGAGGGAGGGGTGATGAGGGAGGGGTGACGAGGGAGGGGTGATGAGGGAGGGGTGGTGAGGGAGGGGTGACGGGGGAGAGGTGACGAGAGAAGGTTGACAGGGGATGGGTGATGAGGGAAGGGTGATGAGGGGAGGTGACGAGGGAGAGGTGATGAGGGAGGAGTGACAGGGAGGGGTGATGAGGGGTGATGGGGAGGGGTGATGAGAGAGGAATGACGGGGAGGGGTGAAGAGGGAGGGATTACGGGAGAGGGGAGATGGACTGTCTTTCCAAGGTGCTTTATGAGCTATGCTATAGAAGCCATGGAGAAATACCCAGAGTGCCTGAAATAACTGCCACAGTATTATATTTTCAGGTCATCCTTGCTAACAATTTAAGTTGGTGGACAGATGAGCTGGCTCAGCAAGGAAAGGCACTTAGTACCTAATCGGACCTGAGTCCCATCCCCAGGGCCCACATGGTGGAAGCAGAGAGCCAACTCCTGAGGGTTCCCATTTGATCTGCACATACACATGCGCACACATACACACTCACACACTAACACTAAACAAACAATTTTTAAATGTATCTAAAGTGAGAAAGAATTGGGCGTTGTAGCACTTGCCTTTAATCCCAGCACTCGAGAGACAGAGGCAGGTGAATCTCTGAGTTAGAGGCCAACCTGGTCTACAAGAGCTAATTCCAGGGCAGACTCCGAAGCTACAGAGAAACCCTGTCTTGAAAAAGAAAAAAGAAAAAGAAAATGAAAGTGAAAAAGAAAAAGAAAAAAGTTTCACTGTGTGGCTCAGGCTAGCTTGGGCCTCATGACCCTCCTGCTTCAGCCTTCCAAGTGCTGAGATTACAGGAATGAGTCACAATGTCTTGTCTCTTTGGACTTTAAAGTGTGGTGTGTGTGCATGTGTGTGCATGTGTGTGTGCGCACGCGCACTTATGTAGGCCAGAGGTAAATGTTCTCCCTCTTCCTCCTTTGCTTACCACCTTATTAGTTTTGAGATAGTGTCCTTCACTGAACATGTAGATTGCTGACGTACCTGGCCAGTCAGCAAAACCCAGGGACCCTCCTGCCTCTGTCTCCCCAGGGTTAGGATTACAGCTGTCCTTTGCTACATTTGCCTTCTTAAACAGATCCTTAGAAGTGAGACTCCGGTCCTCTTCTGACTGACTGAGCCACTCCCCTAACCCCCTATGGGCATCTTTTAAAACTTCTTTTTGGTGCAGGGAATTGAACTCACGCCTAACGCATATACCTCCTGCCTATTGGTCATTTAGCTCTTTCTTAAACCAATCAGAAGGCACCTTATTCAAACACACGTCTCCACAGCGTACACAAAGATTACTCCACAACAGTGTGCATTTCTCATGTTGATGAATAGTGCCAAGTTTTCTTATATAAATATGTTTCAGCAGTGTAGCATGACGGCCGGCTTGTTGGGGTTTCTGTCCTGCCCAGTACCCCATAGCCGGCAAATCCCAAAGAAAATCTCATGGAGTCTACATTAGGTTATAAACTGATTGGCTAATTAGGTCAGGCTTCTTATTAGTCCTTGTAACTTATATTAATCCATTATCATTATCTATGTTAGCCATAATGGCTCAGTACCTTTTTTAGCAGGGGCAGCTTACATGTTGATTCTTCAGTGATCTGCGCAGGAGTGGCGGAGGGACCTTCCTCCTCCGTAGCCTTATTCTAGTCTCATTGCCTCGCCTCTACTTCCTGTCTGGTTGACCCACCTATATTTCCTGCTTGGCCAATCAGCGTTTTATTAAAATACATGATTGACAGAATACAGATAATTTTCTCACACCACAGCAGTACCTACAAATGCCTGTTTCCCCACACCCTTACCGACCTTTAGTCCTGAATGACTGACTTTGTGGGTTTGTGGAGTGGCTGGTGTGGGCGTGTGATCCCACGTGGTGTGGCCCGGGGCTCTGCCCTAAGCTCCCCAGCTGTCAGCATGTCCGTATCTGCCCACTGCTCCATCTTTACTGCTGCACCAGCCGCAGCTGCACAAAGAAGACGCAATCACGGCCAGAGGTTCTATTACCTAACACAGTTAGGACATGCTAAATTTTACTTATATGTTATACACTTTACCAGTTTCAACTTTTAGTGCTGTAGGTTTTTCCAAACATCTCTTGCCTATGTTTCTATGAAAAATATGCTGTAAAAATGATTTTGTGACAAAAATTAGCTAAGTTATAGGCTTTAAGCCACAACACAAGAACTTGGTACTTCTCTCAAGTATTTCCCTGAGGCTAAATGGAATTGCTGAAATAAACCTTATGTGTGATTTTGACAGGGTTTCTGGTGACACAAACAGGGGGAAACATGAAAAAAATACAGAACACACACTCAAACACCAGGAAATGAGCTCGTTTTTATTTAAAATTCACATCCTTCCATGCCAAAGGGACGGTCCCTCTCCACTTAGAGACCGATGGTGTTTAATGTCCTCCAGCTCCTCTGCAACAGCAAAACAAACGTTTAACTACTCACTACACAGGAGAACCTCCTATTTTTGACATTTATTTAAAAACAATAAATTCTGTTTGGGCAGTGGTGGTGGCTCACACCTTTAAATCCAACACTCAGGAGGGAGGCAGGCGGATCTCAGTGAGTTCGAAGCCAACCTAGTCTACAGCGGACAGCCAGGACTCTTACCCAGAGAAATCTTGTCTCAAAAAACTAATAATAATAATAAGTGATGTGCATGCACGACAGAACATTTTAAAAATTTTTTAAAAAATTCCCACGATCTCTGATGGAAACTGACATAAAACTAGGTAGGAACTGAAAAGACAGTTCAGCAACTAAGAGATTTTACTGCTCTTGAAAAAAACCAGGGTACTGTTCCCAGCATCTATGTGGTGCATAACTCCAGTTCCAAATGATCTGACTCCTGAAGGCTTCTGCACAGACACACACACACACACACACAGACACACACACACACACACACACAGGCACACATACACACACACACACACGATGTGGGAAGTCCTTCTGTATATGTGTTGCCTTTATTGGTTAATGAATAAAGAATCTTGCTTGGCCTGTGATAGGGCAAAGTAGAGTTAGGTGGGGAAAACTAAACTGAATGCTGGGAGGGAGAAGGCGGAGTCAAGAGAAACCATGTAGCCGCCAGAGGGGAAAGACACAAGCTGGCAGTTGCAACCTTGCCACTAGGCCACAATCCTTGTGGTAAAATATAAAATAATAGAAATGGGTTAATTTAAGAGCTAAGAGTGAGCTAGAAATATACATAAGGTAATAGGCCAAGCAGTGTTGTAATTAATACAGTTTGTGTGTGGTTATTTTGGGGCTGAGCAGCTGGGAACAAACAAGCAACCTCCTACAACACACAGTGAATATTATACACCCGGGCATGCACACACACATGTAACACAAAACTAATTAATGTATATTTTAAAAAATAGATGCCGTATTTATTCAGTGGTTAATGTATTCTTAGGAATGTCAGCACACAGTGGAGAATACATGCACCCAGCTGGATCTTTCTCAGCTAACCTTGAATATAGGTATAGGGATCGGGGTTGATACCCAGATTTACAGTCTAGACCTGGCACTCGGGGATGGGGGAAACTAAGAGATGACCTTAGCTGGTATGTGTTTCAGGCGCTGTTGGATAAGAAGAATAAAGTTCTAGAGGGAAAGAAGCCTCTGCGATTCCTGCAAAAGAACTCCATACCCCAAGGTCGACTTCCAACCCCCACGCTGGAGATGAGTTCCAGTGTAAGTCTGAAACTTCTACTTGAAGCACTAAGTTCAGGACTGCAGTCAGTTCATGCTTAGGGTAGTTTGGGTTGGATACAATTAGGGCAGCAGTGTTAGCGTCTCAAGTTCTGATTTAAAATCAGTTCCCTCTGTTTTAAATTTCTTTAGAGATTTTTTTTTATGTGTACAGGCATTTTGCCTGCACCACGTGCATGGATTGACCATGGAGACCAAAAGAGGGCTTTGGATTACCCGGGAAATGGAGTTAAAGATGGTTGTGAGCTACCATGGGGATGCCGGACATGGAAATGCAGGTCTTTGTGAGAATAGCTAGTGCCCTTAACCCCTGAGCTATGTCTTCACCCACCCACCCATTCCCAGCTCCCTCTTAACTTGTGTGTAGCAAACATCTAACATATACAAATATAATCCATGTGAAATCTAAACTATTTAGTCTTTTAAATAATAAAAACAAAAAGAATGAAAAATAGCTATTAGAAGGTATCACCATGTATGTTACAAAAAAAAGGAGGAGAGAGAGGAGGAGGGGGTGGGAGGAGACAGAGGGGGAGATAGCCTGGCACAGTGACATATCCCTGTAATCTCAGCACTGGGGGGCCAAGGCAACAGCACCATTCAGATGTATGGAGGACTGCGCAAGTGGGTGAGGCATCTCCAGACTATAGCGTTCTTTGGTGGGGACCCTGACTGGACTGCTCCACACAGCTAGGCCAAGAAAGGCTCCCTCCCCTGGCCCCATGTCTCCCTCTGGTTACCCATAACCTTCCTCCATTGCCTGTCACTTACCTTTTCATTGAGAGGCCTTATCAGATTTCCAGGTTTATTGTTGCTGCGCTGGACACACCATCTTATAGATGCATATAAAGTGTTTTGATCAGGGCTTCCATTCTCTCTGCTCTAATTCCTCCCATCTCCCCCTCCACCACAATTTCCTCCCAATTGCAAGATCTCTTTTTTTAAACCCACCAAGTCTGGTGTGTGCACGCTCATAGTTACATCTCAGGAGTTACATCCCTGCAGAAAGCAGTCCCCCCCCTCCCAGCACCATAACTGTTACATAAGTTGATATTTGTAGCTGACAACTCTTATCACTATGTTCTGATTTGCCAGTAGAGCTACCTTATGTGAAAAGTGCCCTGCTCTAGCCTCTTTCTTCATTACTCAGAAGCAAACATGAAAATCTTACTGTTAAAGGACATTGTTAGCTGTATTTGTGGATTCAGAATGATTTTTCTGGGAGTGGCTCCATGTGCAGGGCCAACTTGGAGGTCCCATCATTTCTTTCTTTTAGGCTCTCATCATGATGTATTACTCATAATAAAAGTGATACATTTTAATGATACAGTATATAATATTTAAGACACCATGTGTTTGATGACAACAGCAGACTCACATCTCAGCTCTCTTTGAAGTCTTTTGACATCTCCCACAGTCTCACGCTTGAAAGAGGTCCCCCCCCCCACCAAAATGTACAATGCTCTAGCTGCTGCAGTCCTCACCCGGTCCTCCCTTTGTCTCTTTAGGAAGAAGGAGAAATAGAAATGGCTGTGATCTATCTGCAGAAGTTACTCCGGGGTAGAGTCGTGCAGAACATGGTGCGTAGGTCAGACCACTGGCCATCGTTTCTCCCACGATAGTGAACGCTGGAAACCGCATCTGTACTTGCTGCCAAGGCAAATTCCCTCATGCACCCTGCCCTCCTATTTTGCTGTGCTCCAGGATTAACTCCCCTTCCCTCCCAGTGCTGTCCTTGTCCATCGGGGTCAGACAAGGTCAAGATGAGAGGAATCACCTGCCTGTCGTGTAGAACTTGAACGATGTGAACTCCATTTTCTTTTGTGGAATTGTTAACTCCCCAGATATGCACATCTGAATTTTGACAGTTAGAGCATTATAAACCAAGAGGGACTCCATAAGTTTCTACTATGCCTTAAAGCAACTGAGTTTGCATAGAGTGGGTAATATTTGTGTTAGAAACACAAAGTTGTTATAGTTTTGAGCTATATGCCTGAGTGTATTCTTTTCTCTCTCTCTCTCTTCCTACTAGAAATCTCATTTTAGAAGGAAGTAGTTTGAGTCTGAGGGATGTTCCCTTAACAAGCGGCAGGCCCAGTGTTGGTCCTGACTTTAAGCTTTGACCAGATGATCTCTGCGAAGGCTGCAATAGACACACCTCACTTTAAAACACACAGATCTCTCTTCCATGCCTTTCCCTCCTGAGGCCGTCAGTTCTTGAGAGACTGCGAGTCCAGGGCAGCTGGTGAACGCCTGTGCTCAGCACTGTGCTTCCTCTCCTTAATCCTCGGAGAACCTTGCAGTTCCCTTCAGATAGTGGATTGTGAGCTATGAGCCCAGGGTTTAGTTCATCGGAAAAGCAAACTGGCCTCGAATAGTGCCGTCGTAGGGTTTTGTTTTGTTTTATTTATTTTTATTTTTATTTTTTGAGGGCGCAGTAAGTGAGCGGCAGAACCTGCGGCTCGCGCATGCCTCCCAGCTCGCCGCGCGGCCCTGGCAGTCTTGGCACAAGGTAACAGGTAACTTTTTCTGGATTTGATTTGGTGCAGATGTTTGAGGGCAAAGAGAAGCGACTGGAGTTGATCATGGAGTTGCGCACCAGCCACGCCCTGCAGGAGGACGACAAGTTTGTGAAGAAAGCGGAGAAGCAAGTGACCCTGGCCCTGCAGAGGCAACGGAACTTGCATGAGAACAAGGTTCTGCCCTTTGTGCTCTTTGTGGCTTGCTGCGCCTTCCCCTCTAGGGGTGGCTGCTGTCCGGTGAACAGCGCTGTAATAACAATAGATGAAAAGATTCTAACAATTGCTCTACAGCCCGGGCACACAGCAGTCTGCAGCAGCCCATATTACGTGGGGTGTGCCCTCGCTGAATCTAATGGGTGCTCTTGTCTTTACTTAAAAAAATAGAAAGAAACCTCAAAACCCAAACCAAACAAATACACTTTTCCCCCAACTTTATGATTTTCCCTTTTGATTTATCTTAAGCATTGACTAATGCTGCCCAACTCCCTGATGCCTGGACTTAGTGGAATGTCTAAAGGAGTAGCAACAGCAACAAAAAGTAACATGGAAAAGCACAGTAGGAGATTTCTTTTAAAACACTGACATTTAATTATAGAACTTTGGAGCCACGTGAATTGCTCCTGCTGGTTGAGGTACCCATTAATTACGCCGCTGTCTCACGATGTTTGGTGACTTTTGTCAGGCTCCCCTACTCTGCCATCTGACATAAACTAACAATGGCACCCCCCCCCCACATCCAACATTTGTCTCTCCACGATCGTTCTCAAGTGTTACTGACTATACCGCGGTTATTTCTCTTATATTCCCAGATATCTGTAAACCAAACCTCAAAATGAATCGATTTGCAGTTTAGTGTTAAAGCGGTAGCACTTTCAGCAGCGCCGTTTGACCCGCTTTTAGTAAGCACACTCGGCTCTCGTGCTAGACGGGAAGTGAGCACAAATAAGAAGCTCAACTTGGGAATGACAACGGCTTTACTCTTTTACGCGGCAGCAATGCCGCTGAAGTGCAGTGGGCTTGGGGGAGTAGGCGCAAGGTGGGGCAATAAGAGCGTCCCAAGCTGTACCACCTAAAAGTAGGACCGATGAAAGATGAGGCCATACTGTGGACCTGGAGTGTCTGACTCTGGTGGTTCTGGAGTCTTGGAGAGGTTTGGACAGGATGGTAAGCCATGAAAGCAGGCGGACCTGCGATGCGATGGGGAAAATGCCCTCCTTAGCCCTTTTGAGGTGCATGGAGCTAAGCCAACTCTAGTAGATATTCAGGTCAGCCGAGCTGGATGCAAATGTCTGGGTCACTCCTCCAAAGACTGCGTATCTTTGGTCCTATCAAGGTACCCAGTGCAGGGACCTGAGGGAAGGTGTACTTCACAGGTTTAGCAATGCTGGTCTCACTACCTCTTTCCACTTCTGTGGGAAACTGTCCAGGAAACACAACTTCATTTCGTGAAGAATTAGTGATACAGAATGCCTCCTAAGCGCTTTTGCTTTCAAGTTGTGTTTCCCGACCTAAGCATTCCTGGCTACGTTCCCTGCAAAGGAATGGGGCTGGGCATGAAAAGGCAGCTGTGAACCTTATGTTACCACCCACCCCCACCCTGGAAGTGAGAGCATTTTGGTCCATGATGACAGGCAGAGAAGCCACCCTCTCTGGGCTGAGCATCCGCTGTTCATACATGAGCAGTGACATGCCCTAACTTCCCCTGTTGGTGCTCCTATTAAAAAAAAAACAACCACTACCAACGTCGAACTACAGGGCTTGAAAGTATGTGTGGGTGAGGATGGGATGAGGGAGCTGGCCTAATAACTGCCCTTGACAGAGAGCCTCAGCCATGATGCCTGTCTCAGCCACATGCCCCTGAGACCCGAGAATATCCCTTCCCTTTAGGCACAAACCAGAGGGGTGTAGAGTAGAGCTGTCAGTGTTAAAGCGGCACGTGCTGGGAAGATGGGAGACTGTCCCTTATGTTCAGGAGAGGGAAGCCAAGCAGGTAAGGCATCTTAAACACATTTCTTGTGTGAAAGCCCAGACACAGATATCCACATACCAGTGACTTCCTCTTGGCCAAGCACTCCACAGGCCCATTATTTTACCTCAACGATATATGGACATCGAAGTTTTATTCTGTGCTGATTCAAAGATGATTGTTAATAGTTTTGAAGTTATTAAAAGTTTAGAAAGCACCATGGTTTTTCACTTTCACACTATTCGTTGTTTTTTTAAAGCTGTTCAGGTTGGTAGGTGAAGATCAGATATTTAAAAATTAAAAGTTCTCATGAGTGAATTTCTAGGCAGTTCTACTTCATTAAATCGAATGCAATGTTAACTTCTTGTCTTCCTTCATGTCTGACTTTCTGCATAAAAGTGAAAAAAAATTACATTGTGTGTCTTGCTGAGACAGTGTTTCAGTAAATCCTCTTCCCAACTTGAGGGCTCTGAGCCCTGGGACTTTCTCAGACCTGCTTTCTCGGGTCTAAGTTTGTGTTCCATTTTCTAACAAGTGCACAGGGATGGGGGTCACCGGGGCATTATATTCCCAGTGAAGGCTGTTCTAACAAGAAGTTGCCTTGCTTGGTTATTCTGGATCACTCAGCACTTAAGAACCACCGTTCTGAGTGGAGCTCATCCTTAAAGTCTTTCTCGTTTTTAAGGTGTCAGTCATTGAAAACCTTCTGGGTGACCTGGAAGGAAGGGTGTTGGCAGACATGCTTGACTTCCTGTCCAAAGAGCTGGTGAGACTGCAGGAGGAGAGGAGGATCCACGCCTTTGCCATGCTGGCTGAGCGCCAACGGCGCATGCGGGAGGCAGAAGAGAGTGGTCGACGCCAGGTGGAGCAAAGGCGCCTGCAGCAGGAGGACCAGATATTTATGGAGGCAAGTGGGGCAGCTGGGTGTAGTAAACTTCCTCGATCCAGGCTTACGGGGAGCCAGGTTTAACCAAAGACATCTCATACTGGGATGTCTCCCGAAATCATACAGACAATTCATGACTTAAATGGGATTTGGGGTTGTTTTCAGCTTATTTATCAAATATGCAGAGTTTCCACTGTACACTGGAGAGTAAAAAGGCATTGTGGGTACTCTGGAGGGAAGACACAGGCACAGCCCTTCCCTCCTGCAATTTAAATAACACAGAACGTGCGCATAATTGTAGAATTAGAAATTCCACGAAGGGAGCAAGCGAGGCAGCGAATGGGGTCCTCTTTAAAGGATATGGCCACGGGGAGGCACAGGGAGCGATCAGGAATGGCAACTAGTCCATGGCTTAGACGACTGTGACTGCTCCTTCGGGAGGTGGGTAGGTGGAGAGGAAGACGGGTTAGGGGCAGAAGCACAATCAGGAGTTCATCGGAAACTTAGCTTGGGACAGTCAAGTGGAAAGGCGGAGAGTTCAGTCTCATCTGGGAAGGGCACAAAAGAGTTAACAACATTTTTGGTTTGACTTAAGGACCGCTTTGAGTAAGCACCTCTGCGGCCGGTATTTCTCTCCCCTCCCCCATCTCTATGCTGTAACCCAGCTATCTAGCGTCCTATATCTTTATAGCTTGCTTCCCGAATAAATGCTCAGCTTCACGAGAGTGAGTGTGCTGTGTATTCACGGTGTGCTTTCTGCACCATCCGCGTGGGCTCTGGACATACTAGGCATTCGACAAATATGTCTTGGCTGATAATGTATTGCACTGCCATTAAGACACTAACATCAGGAAGGGGTGGGGCTTAAGGTTGATATCGGGGTTCAAGATACATAAAGAGTAAGTATCACGCCGGGTGGTGGTGGTGCACACCTTTAATCCCAGCCCCAGCACTCGAGGCAGAGGCAACAGGTGGATCTCTGTGAGTTTGAGGCCAGCCTGGTCTACAAGAGCTAGTTCCAGGACAGGCTCCAAAGCTACAGAGAAACCCTGTCTGGAAAAAAAAAATTAAAAAAAAAAAAGAATAAGTATCACAAACTTAGGTTACACCTTTGGGCCCTCTAAGAAACAAGCCACACAGGTCTTGGTGCCTACCAGCAGCCCAAGCAGAGTCCTGGGTATTATCTCAGATTCAAAGAAATATTCAGACATAAAAATGTTTTTGCCTGCTTCCTGTCGCGGCCGCCATCGGAGAGGAGCAGCCATGGCCCTGCGCTACCCCATGGCCGTGGGCCTCAACAAGGGCCACAAGGTGACGAAGAACATGAGCCAGCCGAGGCACAGTCGGCGGCGCGGGCGCCTCACAAAGCACACCAAGTTCGTGCGGGACATGATCCGGGAGGTGTGCGGCTTCGTACCGAGCGGCGCGCCATGGAGCTGCTCAAGGTGTCCAAGGACAAGCGCAAGCTCAAGTTCATCAAGAAGCGGGTGGGCACGCACATACGCGCCAAGAGGAAGCGGGAGGAGCTGAGCAACGTGCTGGCCGCCATGAGGAAGGCGGCGGCCAAGAAGGACTGATCCGCTCTCCCCCCTCCCCCCGTTCCCAATAAACGTTGCTGTGGCGCAAAAAAAAAAAAAAAAAAAATGTTTTTGCCACCATGAGACTCACAGTTTGTTGAGACAAAGACACACACGCAAAGTAGTGTTGATGCTCGTGATATTTTCTCTCTCTCTCTCTCTCTCTCTCTCTCTCTCTCTCTCTCTCTGTGTGTGTGTGTGTGTGTGTGTGTGCATGTATGTGAAACAAACAAAGCTAAGTGGTTTTGCCTGAGATTACATTGTCAGAGAGCAAAATTCTAAAGCTAAATAAGCACTCATTAGGACCCTCATGAAAGTGGCCATAGGCTGTGCTCAGGAAGGACCCAGTGGTCTTCTTAGGCACTAGCAGCAACTATATGGATGCTGGTTTTATCCTAATTCATTATATTGTATGTACATTTATGCGCTCTGCATACCAAAAAGCCCTCTGCATTCTATCTCATGATTTCAAGAAATCTTCAAAAAGTGATTAAAGGGCCATTTTATGACCTGGAATCCTTTCCCCTTCTGCTCTACAGCCTCTAAAATATGGCAACTTAAGGTGACTACTGTCCTCAAAGGTTTCATGTCCATAAAACAAAACATAGAAAGAGAGCGAAAGAAGAGGGGGAAGCTAAGTCTTTCTTGGGCATATCCCCTCAGCTCATATTGACGGGGCCTGGCCTTGGTCATGTGGTCCTACAGAAACTGGAACTAGGCAATGTAGCCCTTGCATACCTGTTTGCCTAGCTGAAATCCAGAGATTCTGTTATTTAAGATAAAAGACAGAAAGGGTATTAGGAAATATTCCCTAACCTCTGCTACAGTTAGGTGGCTCGGCCAAGTCACACAACTGATAAGGACAACCGGGATCCAGACCAAGTTATTGATCATCATTATTTTGTAGAGCTTTTAACCAACATCCAAGTAAGACCCAAGATCCAAGTTATGAGCTGGACTAAGTGGTTTGGGCTGCCCAGAAAGCACAGGTAAATGGATGAGAAACAGACGAGTGGCTTAATGAGAGAAATATATGAACTGTGAGATCACCAAGCAACGTTTGTGTGGTTTCTGTACTGACAACAATAGAAGTTCTTAAGCAGTATATATATTTTAATTTCCGCAGGTGATTAAAGTCCACCAAAGCACTGTGACATCCTACCTGGAAGACATCATACTGAACACAGAAGACAGTACTGCAGAAGAACAAGCCAGAGCAGAAATTGAGAAGATCGCTGAGGAAATCAATGATATCGCTTATGAAATGGAAAACCGGTATGCATCATGAGAAAAAACTGTGAAATGAATGATGACATTTATTGTTATTCAATTGTAATCTTTCAGAGACTTCAGGCCCCGCCAGAAATATATAAGCCATGCTCTGATGTCCATTGCTTTACTAGCAGAATTCACTGGGACTCAACACGCCCATACCCCTCTTGGTAGGAACACTGTGGACTGAATCCTTTGTTTTCCTCTATCCTTCTGGTCCAATTCCATCCTATACATTACAATACCCAGAACATAAAAGCAGAGTAGATATATGTATTTGACATATATCTGATTATTTGGACTGAATCCCAATATGTTTTAGACTTCCAAGTATTTGCTGAATTTTTAACATGTGCTTCATAGCAGGCAGGATGGGGTCAAATTCTAATGTTTTTATGAAGTCAAACAAGCTTGTCAGGAATGTGCTCTTTCAGGTCATCCAATCAAGGGAAAAGTGACAGTGGCATTGAGGAATGGCTTATGTAGGTCACGTGGGTCTCAGGGCCTATCAGCAGCCCAAGCAGAAAAAGCAGGACTTCATTTTTTATTTATCTGTTCATTTGTTTTTGATATTGTTTTCTAGTCGAACATCTCTTCAGTCAGAGGAGATTGTTGCCGAGTTGGTTTATAGCTTTCTCATCCCAGAGGTACAAAAGGACTTTGTCAAAGAGAAAGGTAAGGGGTGTAATTCTAGACAAAGGTGGAGTGGCATTTCACTTTTATTTTAATACATAAAGCTTGCCTGAGGATCAGAAAAGTAGAACAGTCACACTGGCCAACCTTACAGATCAGGCAGCTATGACAAACACTTTTAATCCCAGTAGCCACACTAGCTTGCCATAGAAACCAGGCAGTAGTGGTGCACACCCTTAATCCTAGAACTAGAGAGAATTATAAAGTGGGAGGAGACAGTTCTCAGACACAGTCTCGTTCTGAGGTTCCTGGAAGCAGGATCGCCATTTCGGACTAGGTTGAGGCAAGAGCCAAGGGCTGGCTGCTTGGCTTTTCTGACCCTCATGTTGAAACTCTTTTTTCTGCCATTGAGTTTTTATTAATCGTGCTTCACTAAGGTGTGGGGATTTCTGAAAAAGCAGTGGGTTCTTACTTCAGAGTTTATTACTTTCTTCCTGAAGCTTAACTGCAGAACCTAATCACCTCCAGTAGGGGACAGAATCCACTCCCGCAAGATTGGCAGAAGGCCAATTCCTTTAACCGGAAGTTTTGAAGTTCCCAGGGAGTTTTATGCCTTGACCCACACACTTGCAGCCTTTTGCAGACCGATGCAGAAACAGTGGGTACTGAGGCAGGGGTGCCTGAAGAGTCTAAAAACACCCTGCTGCTAATAGAGTTTCTGCTGGGGTGAGATCTAAGTATAATGGTTTCAATTTGTCCTTTGTCAAAAATGGCAAGTTTTAAAATAATGGTGCTTTTAGTCAATAGGAAAGAAAAGAATGTGTCTTAAAGAGAAAAGGACCCAGGGCTGGAGAGATGGCTTTAGTGGCACATATTGCTCTTCCTGAGGACCTGGGTTGGATTCCCAGCATTCTTCAGGTGGCTTACTACTTCCGGTAACCCCAGCTGCAGGGGGATCTGACACCTCTGACCTCTGACCTCTGTGGGGACTTGCATTCATATGGGCATCCTCCCGCCCACATACACATAATTAAAATTATAATAACAATAAAAATTTTAAAGAAGAAGCAAAAGATTCTTTCAGAACCCTTAAACTGTTGGGGCCAGGTCTGATCCCAGAGAGGGAAGTCGTCAGGACAAAACCATGAAACAGTGGCCCACAGGCCTTTAGCTGGTAGACAGCCTTGGAGAGACTGAGACCGAAACACGTGCTTGATTAAGGACAAAGGGCTAGTGGACTCTGGCGCATTAGGTCGGAGAATGTTGCTATTTCGTCTACACGTGGTAGCGTAACTTTAGAACAGGACCTCTCTAGCACTCCGTGCTTTAGTCGGCTTATGGTGTCTTTTCTATCGTCCTTAGTTTATTGCAATCAGTGTGCTTACACATCATGGCCACCACCCTTAGATTCCCGTAGCACAAGTCAGTGTCGGACAGAAGAATGAGTGAGTTTTATGTTTTTGTGGGTTCTACCGGATCCCCACACAAAAGATGGCTGTGCTCCCACCCCCAGTGCTTGTGGCCTCCACAACGACAGAGTTAAATATGCAGACCAAGTAATATATATTGTAGTGTAAAGGGCTGCTATGTTTTCAAGATCCCTGAGAATTAATGGTAAATATTGAGCCTTCTTCAGAGTCAGCTTTCCTGAGGGAATTGAAAGAGATAGAAGAAAAAAGGGGGTGTGTGTGTCAGTTTGCAATTCCCTCCGGGCAGCAGAAACAGAAGTCTCAGTTTTGGTTTCCAACACCCATGTTGGGTGACTCACAACCCCTGTAACTCCAGCTCTGGAGGATCTGGCACTCCTAGGCTTTGAGGGAACCTATATTCACGAGAACAACCCTATAACACATACATAGAAAAAATTTAAAGATGAAATGATTTAAAAAAAACTTTCTCAAATCTCCTTCTGTGCCTCAGTGGAAAGCTTTGGAGGGGATATTGAATTTGGGGAACTCAGAGGGAACTGTCAGTGGGCAGGCTGGGTGAGCCCTCAACCTCGTCACATAATACTGATTCCTTTATATTTTGTCTTCATTTCCTTACCTATAGACAGAGAATGAATACTCAGGACTTTTATTTCTCATGTATTTCTTAATTTATTTATTCATTTGTGGCAGAGTCTCATTGTGTATCTCTGGTTGCCCTGGAACTCTCTAGGTAGACCAGGCTAGTCTTGAACTCACAGAAGATCCTCCTGCCTCTGCCTCCTGAGTGTGGGGATTAAAGGCGTGTGCCCCCACACCTGGCTTTGTTTCTCTTCAAATAAGAGAACTGTATGTTATGTGCACACTCTTTACCCAAGACTAAGCTATATTCATAGACCATTTGAAATTATCTTATTTTTTTTAAAGATTTATGATTTATTTTATCATTTGTCTCTCTCTCTGTCTCTGTCTCTCTGTCTCTGTCTCTCTCTCTCTCTCTCTCTCTGTGTGTGTGTGTGTGTGTGTGTGTGTGTACAGAAGCAAGAAGAATGTATCAGATCCTCTGAAGGATGCAGGTGGTTGTGCATCCACAACCATGGATTGTGCATCTCTCCCCAGCCCAGTTATCTTACTGTGCATGCCAAGGTCAATTTAGATCATTAAGCATTAGAAACTCCACAGTATCTGAATCTCTTATAACAGCTATAGGTGTATTCTCATTTTTCTGTCAAGGAAATTAGTGATTGGAAACAAATTACCAGCTAGTAGGGCTGAGTCATGACCACTGTGTCCCCAAAGTCCCCGCTTTTTCAACTATTTTACCGCAAAGTGGGGTGATCTGCTATATAAACTACCCTGTGTAAAGTAATTGATACCCAAATAGTAAAGAATACATAGGTCATTTAATTTTCCTCTTGGGGACAGGATCTCATATATTATACAGTCCAGGCTTACTTGAATTAATAGTTTTTTTTGCCTTAGTCTCTTTAGTGCTAGGTGTCCAGGCAAGTGCCACCATGCCCCATCCATGGTACCTCTTACTGTCCTTAACTAGTTAGCTGTCTGGTTTCCTTCTAAAATTAGACTGCTAATAATATTCTCTTTTAAGGTTGTGATGGAATTAAATGAATGCTCACACGCCAACTGTCTGAAGCAGTCTCCAGCACGAGTCAGGGACAAGTACAGGTTGCTAATTTCACTCACTATTGTTATCAATGTGAACACTCATCCTTCCCAGGGGCTTCGCCATTTGCTGTTGCCTGTGCTAAAGCTTAGTAACACATGTTCACAGGGTTTGCTCCTAGGACCACCATCTGAGCTCATAGTCCCAGATGATCCCATCCAATGGATCAATGGGGCTGTTGTTTCTGGGCCTTGGTGAGGCAGAAGGACAGAAAAGTGTAGCTGAGGAAAGATGTCCATGCCCTGGTCCCACCACAAGAGTGAGAAAGGAATGGTCCAGAGCCGAGATATACCCTTCAAAAGCAACACCCCCAATGACCTACTTCCTCTACGAGGCCCCACCCCCTATTAGTCCACGCAACTATGACTCAATAGATTCTTTGCTATATAAATTTTATTATTAAAAAATACTTTTATGATTAAAAACATCACACACCAAAATTAATCAAAGTCCAAGACTATACAATTCAATGAACTTCTATAAGGTTAGATTGGGCACTTGAGATAACTCATGAAAATTAGAACACTGATAACCCAATTATTTCTCAGTAATGCCACAGCTGGTAGCCAAGCTTTCCATGGAAAAGCACTTCAAATTCAAAATATAACAGATCTGGTTCATTTTCAGAAAATGCCCTTCTAAAACACACAATGGGTCGTTTTTATTGAGCACAGTAAACCCAAAACAAAATATGCATTTTGAAATTTTTTTTCACCCCTATCTTAAAAACGCTGGGGGACAATTTCGAGCAGAAAAGTAAAAACTTCGCCTGTTCCTTTGGTTCAGTGAGGCTCGCACAGCGGAAGCACATTCTCGCGGCCCATCAGATCATTCACAGCCACACGGAAGCTGTGATCCAGAAGAACGTCTCTGCCGAACAGCGGAGAATGGCCCTTGAGCAAGAGAGGCAAGAGAGGCAAGAGAGCCAAGAGACCGATGAGAGCTCAGTATCTGACCCGCCAAATGAAGAACATACTCCAAGTGAGGGAAGCAGCTAGGCGAGCCTGATGTTTCCATCCGGAAGGGAGCCCCGGAGGAGGAGAAGCAGCTCCGTTCAGTTTGGGCCACTGCTCAACCAAGTGTGCGGTGAATGGCCTGGCCGTTGTTTTACAGAAAAAATGGAGCACTTCCACCAAGACTGACTTCTCTCATCTGGGCTAGGCTACGTATTGTTGAGTTTATTAGAAAGTTAGCGTTGGTTCTATAGCAGTTGGATTCTTGCGATCTAAAAAGTAAGGCTGTAGGTTATTGGGGAGGGGCCTTTTATCACATGAGTGTACTCTACCACGAATAAAGCATCATGGAACGTGTGAACACTGCAAAACTTGCTCTCACAGAGGTGGACCAGGTGCACCATGGTGCCTTGTACTCCCTATAAACAGAGACAAAGGGTGATGCAGAACCTGCTGAGTTCAACCCAAACATCTGCAGTGCACCCCAGGGGCTGGTGTTAGACTCATAAATATTCATATGCACAAAACTACGGAGCTTCATATTTGGCATGGGGCTGCTCAGTTGGAATGGAAGACAGGAACACACAAGGTAGGTAGAGGACCTGCCTAGTGTACAAACACCACATCCCAGAGGCTAGACTCTCTTATAATAATTTTGTTGACTTAGCTTCCAGGGGCCCCCAAATGGATCATTGCACCTAGAAAAGTTAGCATGTTGAGAGAGACTCACAAGTGTGGGTCCCTGGTGGGCACAAACGGTGTTTGCAAGTCATCCCGGTACAGATATGTTTTAGCAGTCAGGGCCATTTTTACCATAAGTAGTGAGTTGCTTGGTAATCCAGCTGACACATAGCACATGGTCTACCAGGAGAACAAAACAGGAGAGTCCTGCATGATCCGTGGTTGGTATATACAAAATTTGTCAGTAAGAAAGGTAAGGCAAAACCATAAAAGATATTGGAAGTAAGCCAAAGAGAAACAGAGGAGAATGGAAAACAGTGCGCGTGACCCCTGGTGTCTGCATGTCACCTTTGTCCAAACATACTTTGCATAGAACATGTTCTTCAAGGAAGAGAAGGCAGGATGCAGAGAGAAGGTTCCTCATGGAGTAGTGACTGTGGCCAAAGTACACAGCAAATCCTTAGGAAAGAGTCACCTGGGAGCCAGTTTTGTCCTCTACTGCACAGCCATCGACAACAATAGGAAACTATTCTCCATCAACAGCTCTGCCCAGATTTCTGTGAGAGTCAAGAGTATGATTGAAAATGTTTCAAAGTTACAAATCAGTCTAACCCACTATTTGATAACCTGTGTTCTACCCACTTTAAGATAACTTTAAAAAGGAAGGTGGGTAGGCAAAAACAGAAACCAGGCTGTATACCGTTACAAAGGATGGATTCTGCTTCAAACGCCTACTTTGCTGGCGTTCTGGCCTGAGTTCCCTCAGTGATGGGTGGTGTCCTGGATGAGAAAGTTAGATAAACCCTTTCCTGTCCTCCCCTGAGTTTCTTTTGGGCACCATGTTTATCACAGCAACAGAAAGCAAACTAGAGTTATGTGTCCTCCAAAGAAGAAAAAGGAGAGGGTCCCTCTGAGTCCACCCCATGGGGACCTCTGTGCTCTGAAGGTCAGTTTGGGCCACACACACCCAAAAAGGATGTTAAGAGATTTTGAGAAAGGCCACTGGGCAGGTTGATAAATTCCTGTCTTCCTTCACCTGTATTTACACCATCAGTGTGTCTGACTCTGTTTTTTATTTGTAATGTTTTTATAAAGTTTTACCAAAGACCCTGACTGCCTAGGCTTGCCTCTCATGGGCGCCTCAGGAGCTCACTGTTCTGGTTGCAGCAGAAGGTAGCTGGGGTAGAGGCCGGGGCTTCAGTTTCTCCCCCTTTCCGAAGTCACGCCTGGGAGTGACTCAGACTTCCTCCAGGGCACCAGTCTGGGATTCTCAGTAACCACCGTGTACAGGGTGTTTTAACTGGCTTCCAAATAAAGCCCTGCCTGCATGAACACTGAGTCTCAGCCACCCTGCCACCTCCTTATGCCCCCTAGAGCCTGATACAGCATACCCAGAGGGAGAAAGCCAGACAAGCCTTCAGAGACCGAAGGGCATTTCTTTCCTTGGGTAGGCTCCTAACTCATTCTGGTTTCCCCATTTCTGCTGTAAATAAGTTGCCGTGTGTGTGTGTGTGTGTGTGTGTGTGTGTGTTTGGGGGGGGAGGAGTTTCAACACAGGGTCTCTCTGTAGCTTTAGTAGCTGACCTGGAACTAGCTCTTGTAGACCAGGCTGTCCTCGAAATCACAGCCATCCGCCTGCCTCTGCCTCTATTAAAGGCGTGCGCCTCCACTTCCCGGCTCATAACTTCCCATTTTTATATGAGATGTAAACCTAGACCTTTGTGGGCCAGAAGAGCTTTGAGAGATGATAAAAGCTGTAATAATTTACCTGTGGCTCAAGGACTTCTGGCCTGCTGCCCCGCCTCAGCTGGAGTCCTGCCCATTCTCCTCGGCTACGAAAGGCCTACCTCTGATCTTGGAAGTCAGTGTCCCATTTCAGTTTTCCCAGTCTCTTAGGCCGTGACACTCTCCTGCTACCCCAGAGTTCACTAGATAGGCTGTTTCTTCTGGGGACTTCAATCCCTATTTCATGTGTTCTAGGGCCCTGTTGAAGGCTAAGGCAATCTTGAGGGTGGTGGAGTTTATTAGCAACAGCTTCCTAATTCTGGAAGGTTTGGGGGGAGAAAACATCACTCAGAGCCTTCCTGCTGACCCTGCGGTGGTGGCGCACGCCTTTAATCCCAGCACTTGGGAGGCAGAGGCAGGCGAATCTCTATGAGTTTAAGGCCAGCCTGGTCTACAAAAGCTAGTTCCAGGACAGCTAGGGCTGTTACACAGAGAAACCCTGTCTTGAAAAAAAAAAAAGCCTCAAACAGACAAACAAAAAAACCCTTTCCTGTTGGGCCAGTTCCCAGCCAGTCTTGTAGGAGAGTCTGAGGAAAGAGAAAGCTCTCAGAACTTTCTCAACGGTCCAGTTGCCTGCTCCTAGACAGCGTTCTGCCCTGAGCTTGGAACTGCAAACTCTTACCTGTCTCATAGCCCTCGCCTTTGTTTTCCTGCTCCTCCCCACTTCTCACATTAATATACCAGTGTCACAACTGCAGTCCCAGAAAGTGACTTGGAAAAATAGAGCATTAGGAACTGTAGACTCCAAGACACCTTATCTCCAGTGACAAACACCCTCAGAGAGGCAGGCCCAGGCCCAGAATCAGGGCAGACACTTAAAACACCCTTCCCTTTATATGTTTGACAGTGATGGAAACTATGAAAAAAAAAAGGAGGGTGTATAACAAGAGTAAATACGGTAATCTGGTCATGACCAGTTCAGGTGCTGGACTTGGGACTTAGGAGTGCCATCTGGGGCCTCTTACTACATTGGACCTGGGGAGAAATGTGGGCAAGAAAAACCATAGCTCCTACGGCCGGGGACGCCATAGCAGATTAGCCAAGAAGGAGACGTGGAGACACTGGTCATTTTTCTAGCGAGAGGCTCACCCTCTCCGTGGGAGTTCGACCTTGGCCCATACAAAGCACTATAGAAACACTACAGCCTTACTGCGAGACCTCCGTGTGCGACTGGGCAGCCACCGCAGGTGCGCCACGCTCCACGCAGAGCCATCATTCCCGATTCTTCAAAGTGGACCCCAAGGGAGGAATCCCACGAAAACAGTGGCCACCAAGCAGGTACGATTTTGCTTTCTTTGTCTTTCCGGGAGTCAAATGCTCCATGTCTCTGTCCAGAAGTTTTATGGGAGTACGGTTGAGGTCTGAGGTCAGCAATGGAATATGGAGCATAGTACAACCTTGTATTTTCCTCTCCTCCTCCCTGGGTTAAATACAGCACAAAGACAGTTGCTGGGCATGGAGCCAGGAGGCCCTTCTCTACCTGGCCTACATTTGTGTTGCAAAGGAATTATCAAAACAGAAGCCTTACTTCTGCAGGTGCTCTTAGGCGTTAGACGGCAGCCAAGCCCCTCTGTAACAGGATTGGAGTCCCTGTAGAAAATAGAACTGTTGAAGACTGTGAGAACCAGGAGCAATTAACCCTGGCTCCTTGAGCTTGTCAGGTTAGTGGGCCGAGGACAGCAGCAGGACAGTCCCAGGTCTCACTTCCTTAACACCCACTGTACCTACGCGGCTTTGTACTTCTACTTCTGGATTTTGTACATTTTCTTCTTCTGCAAGGAGCAACACTTGCCCCCATGTCAGAATCGTCCCTGGGTATGCTCAGAATCCCAAGGCCCCCATCTTCTCCCCACAGGGCAGTCAGAGACACTGCTGTAAGGCCCCCACACACCTAGGGCTTCTCATGAGACACCTTCAAGGCTGCCAAACGTCCCTCTGAGTTTCAAGTGTGGTGCTGGCCTTTGTACAGGTTCAACTGTTTTTCATTGCCCCTGGAAAGGTGAATGGCCACCACCCAGATGAAAGGTGGCTGGACTATCTACACTGAAATAAATGTTTGGTCTCTAATGATGTGGCCAGAGTCTAAATTATTCTGAGCAAGGCGTCTGAGTCTGTGGCTTACCCAGTTGGCAATAGGAAGATTATTTATTATACTAAGTACTTGCTTAAAAATGCTTCAGTTACCTGGTGAACTTAATCTAAACTGGCATCACCATGTTATAACTCATAGGCCAAATCTGGCCCATTAGCTGTTTTTTATCAATAAAGTTTTATTAGGACACAATGTCATGTGGCTGCTTTTGCCC